GGCAGGCGTTTCTCTCGAGATCGTGCCGTCCTCGCCCGTCGGGCAGAGCGGAGCTCGCCCTGGTGTGCCCGGCGGCCGCCGCGCGGCGCGCTCTTTGACGCGAGATTCTGTCATTTCCCCGACACAGGAGAACCCGGCTCTGGCGGTCGCAATTAAAACGTGTAAGAACTGTACTTCGGACAGCGTGAGAGAAAAGTTCCTTCAAGAAGCCTGTAAGTTCCTGGAAGATTCTCTGGCACTCCATCTGACTTTCTATCTGTAAAACCCAAACCATAAAGCAGGAAAATGTGTTCAGCTTTTGCGAGACAGCTGATTGACTGTCTTCCCTCACAGGTGTAGAGACAGAGACCTGTTTTTTGCTTTAGGTGAGCCACGATGTCTGGGGGTAGAGGCAGAGTGATTTGCTGTCCTCTTATCCTCTGCACCCCTCCGCACTCAGCATTGGGAAGCCGGCCCGGCCCCGCAGCTGTCACTGGAGCTGGAGCCGGCGCCGCCCGACCGCCAGTTTGCTTCTTTGTGAGCCACCTGGCTGTTGGGCGAGGCGGGTGCCCGCGGGCCAGGGGCGCTGGCTGCTCTCAGGCCGCGCGGGGGCGCCCTGTCGGTCGGGTCACAGAGCACGGCCGAGTGCTGCAGACTCCCGGTACTTCAGTTAGAGCGGAGACAATAGGAACAGCTTAGGTCCTGTTCCTGAGACGTGTCGGAAAAGCTGAGAAAGAAGGACAAACCTGAAGCATCGGCGTCACCCAGTGAAGGCGCAGGGGCCCGCAGGGGCCAGCGGGGCCCGTCCAGGCTGGCCCTGGCGCAGAAAGGGTGTGGACGCCGTGCCTCATGTCGCCGTGAGCGCGGCCTCGGCTGCAGAAGCGTGGGAACAGCCCCGTGGGGGCCGCTTGGGTTGTTTAGCCTGGGGAAGACCCGCCGGGAGGGTGGCCGTGGCCCTCGTCCCGTGTCTAAGTTGTCCGTTTTTCCCTTTTATGGAAGCGCCACTGGTTTTGGCCACAGCACTGGGCCGTCGGGTAGGTTTCTTCTCTCCCGGCCGCCGCCCTCCCTGGGGGCTTCTCAAAGGGCTGCCGTGTGGAGGTGCATTTTTTTCCTAACCAAAACAAAGGCTTACCTGAGGTAGGCAGGAAAATAGAAGATATTAAAATCAGTAGTAAGGGAAGCAGACATGTGATACAAGGGGCCAGGTGAAAATTCCAGAAGCCACACACATAGGGAACAAAGTTCCTTTGAATTGTGAGGTACAGACGGCCTCGCACTGACGGCGAGCAGAGCGCCCCCCAGCCTGCGCGCCCTCGGCGTCCCCAGCCTTCCTGGCGGCTGGAGGCTCTGGCTCGGCCGCGCCGTAGGCAGTGGGGGGCGGCTGCTGTTACCCTGAGCCGTGCTCCGCCCCCTACGACCAGCCCGTTAGCCCAATAGGTGGAGGCCCGTGCTGTGGGGACGCTGCGCCGCCACCCCCGGAGGCC